CGTGCGCGCCCCGCCGCCAGCAGGCCACATCATCCGGAACATCACATCCGCCGCGGCAAAGGGGCGGGGGCCAGGCGGGCGCCAAAAAGCGCTCGGTTTCGGGCGATGAGCATGCGCGAAGCAAGCACCGCCCGCTCAGGCGGCGCGCGTTCGGGCGCCTCCGCCTGTGAGCACGTTCCTCATTTCCAGCCGTGCGCGGCCCGTACCGGCAGCGCTACGCAATTGCCTAACGTCAGAAACTATTCTTACCTCTTCGGGACACGCAGTAAGCGTTGCCGTGCTCCTGCACCTTTAGTATTTGAGTTACACGCTGCTTTCCCGTATTTAGATAACAAGTCCCCACCAAGTAGCGGGTGCAAATTAATTTACACACAAATAACAATGCGGTTACACAACTATATAACTGCGGCAGTAGCCGATCAACTTGTTTCTGACCTTTTTTCTGACCCTCCTCTCATCCCTGGCACGTTGGGAACTGTATTACAGCAGTGCAGCTAAAGCATGCAATTTTAAGCCCAATTGCCCCCCCAAATTTACTTAGTTGGGAAGACATATGCAACTCCTACGACTGAAGAACATGACCTCACACACAATAGAAACCCCGTGCCAAAGATTTATTTCTGGTTAAAATCCACAACGCGGTAGCATTGCTTTCATAGGGGTATCTACTTGTAATTGAAGAAGCTTCTGTTTACTTCAAGGCCTGGGGGCCTCTAGTCAGTTGGTCAGAGTTGCCCAAAGTTCTCTAGGCTGTTGCATTTGCTCCTCAGGTTGGTGTTTAGAATATAACAGAATTAACTTATGTCCTTTTTTTGTTTACTTGCATCCCCTTCCAGTTTCAGTGCTGGATATGGGTTTGGCTAGCCTGTGTCTTCACAGGACAAGGAAAACATTTCTGTTTTCTCTCCTCTGAGGGATTTACACATTGCAGACTATATAAAATAGCATGAAATGCTAAAAGTTGATTTAATAGATCTCAGCTATTTGAAATACTGACTTTGATTTAACCAGGGAAAGAAATTTTCTACAACCTCCCCAAAGAAGACAAGTCGCTTGATTGTGGCTTGAAGATTGAAGGTACTGGAAAGCCAAACTACCCCTCAAAATCTGAAGACTTAAAGCAGAAAAATCATCCCCTTCCCACCTACATCAAATCTGGAACATACCCATCTCCCCATATATCTCTTCCTGCAAACTAAATGTTTCACGCGCTGTACCCTGCTGTTGTAAAAGCCCACTTGTCTGAATCTTTTCCAAAAGGTTTCTGTTTGGTTAGTTGGTTGTTTTGGTTTTGTTTTTTTTTTTTTAATTTCCAGTGCTAACACTGAAAATGAACACTTATTTTATCAGTAGTCTGAACATCATATACACTGGTAACTGTCACAATATGCAAAGAAAAAGTGCTTAATATAGGTCATGGCAGGGAACTACTAAGATGGTTTAATGTCTGGACATGAGGACATGAATACAATATAATGACAGGCAGGGATGGTTATGGCAGTAATCCCACGCCTGGCTATCAAACCTACCTAGTACCCTTTCTACTCCACACTCCCCTGCCCAACAGTTTTGAACCGTACTTGAAATAACCAACTTGTCAGGCTTCAGTTAAAGCTGAAGAATTTGCTATCAGCAGCAGTGGACCCATAGCACCTGCTATGAGGGGAAAAGATGGGTAGAGCGAGTATGTTTGCAAAAGTTAGGGCTAATAATAGAAACAGAAGTTTGAGCATTATAAATAACCTTTAAAAAAAATGTAAAAAACATTATTAGGAAGGTACAGTTTATGATATACATAAAATGTAAAAAACCCCCAACAACCGATTCCCAGATAAACTAGAACAAAGAAACAGCTTCAGCATACTACTGAAAGGCTGAAAAAGGTCAGAAACCAATTCCACTAGAATACTCCTTGCACATAATAAAAAAAATTACACACATATCAGATTTAGCAATTGGTTAACGAAACATAAGAGAGTTGCTATGTCTGCACGCTGACAGAGCATAAGCTGTTGGGAACAACTCCCTGTTCTCAGCGACAGAAGCCAGGATAGTGAGTGCTGCCTGCCTACAGCCTCCTCTCTAGCAGGAGGTTCAGCTCTCGGCAAGCACAGCCCAGCACCGCAAACGCGCCCCACTGCAGACAACAGCTTACATTATACCAGTTCGTAACATTCCCCAAGATCGTTATTCCAGTTATAATTACCCTCTGTCTATCAGCGCCACACAAATCACATTTGAACAATGCTTCTAAACTTCCACGATTGCAGTTAAATCCAGAGGGAAGGCTGAGCAGTCTCCTTGAAACCTGAAGTGCAGACACTACTGTGTGAGAGACCTATACAGAACATGTTCCCTCTTCTTTCTCACCTTCCTCCCCTTCCCCCAAGTTGCTTCTGCATTGAAAAACAGAATAGTGGTACAGTGAAACTGTTGCACTGTTCTAATGACTTATCTTTACTGATCCTGTGCTGTGAGCAATGCTGGGGGTGAACTTCTCCTCTGATGATTACTAATTAAAGTATTACATAATTATGCTGGAATTAATTAGGTGTTTCGATCCTCACAGCATTGTTACAGTTAAACTATTTTGAGGGAAGCAGAGAAAAGTAGGAAGGAAAGGTAGGGAAGAAAATGCGTTACGTTTAAAAAAATGCTGTGTTTTTAAAAACATTACCATGAATGCACCACATATTCAACTTCTATATGAAATACGTGACAATAGAAATGATGCAGCAGTATGTAGTAACCACCCACAGACCAGCTAGGGACCATGATACAGTCACATGGATCAGTCTGGGAACGACCGATGCATGGTTACAGGATCTTAGGGATAAAAGCGTTCAGAAAAATGCTAGAGGAGAAGATCAGAGACAAGAAGTTCCTGGGGGGATGGGGGGGAAGAAAAGAGACTTCCTTTTGTACAACACACATTATATTATATAGGAAATGGGGGAAGGATGAGAGACAGATGCCTCATGAAGACCTAGATGTCAGTTGCTGCCTAGTCCACCAGGGTTTTCAACACTTGCCTGAACTCAGTGTTGACCCTATTTTAAGTAGGAAGCTGGACGAGAGACCTCCTAAAGTCCCTTCCCACATGAAGGATTTCTAAGATCCATCACGAGAACAAAGGGCACTAGAGAAAATCCAAACTAAGCAATTTGATGAGTTATCAAAGAAGTAATAAAGTCACTCACTTGAATTTTTCTTTCAAATACTGCAATACGAGAACAAACATAATACACAGATGAATATGAGACACAAGGTGAAGCTATACTTGAAAAATTCAGGACTTTATTTTAAACAGTAAGGTTTTTTTTCTTTTTACAAAATGTCCCAGACTGTACGATACATCAACATTTTTCTAAGGTAGGGTTTGTTTTTTTTTTTTTTTTAATTCTGTAACCATTTCCTCTTCTCCAATTTTGAGGTAAAGAGACACACTTTCCGATAAGCATTTTCAAAAAACACTTAAGCCCTCCCCACTATAGTCCAAACATAAAAACAATGCACAAGAACACAATGTCCATTTTTCCACTATTAATTGCTCAGATAATTTGGAAATCATGTCACTGCCTATAAAAGTTGGCATTTAAAAGCTGGCCCATTAACTCCATGAAGAAATCCTGAAAAGATTAGAGCTGATATCATGGAAGGGCATCATCTAAGGCAACACTTCCAGAAGGAGAATCCTCTGCCCCAGAAGCAGGGCTGTCAGGCAGAGGAATAGACACATCTATTTCCAAGCTATGCTGCTTCTCTAGATCACAATTCATGTCAGAATTTCCTCCACCACTCACCTCTCCCTCTAACTCTTCAGTCAATTTGTCTTGGGCCTGAGCTGACTCTTCAGAATCTTCCTTTTCACGCAGAAAGCTGCAAATAGTATTAGGCCTGCTGTAGGAGAAGTCTCTGTCCTTGATTTGTAACCACTCCACTCCCCCTGATGCAAGGAAGGAAAGTTGATATTAGTGACAAAAGGAGTTAAGAGTTCACAGCCATTTTGTCTTAAGTTCACTGTTATTAAGGCTGAGCCTGACCAACATTTAAGTAAAATAATCACTTAGGATAGAAAGATGCCTTTCAAGAATTTGGACCAACACTAATTTTTATGGTGATTCTCACCAGGGGGCTTAAACCATTCATTTTCCTTGAAAAATGAGGCTATGAATAACAGAAAGGCATATGACAAAAAGACCAGCTTAAAATGAAGAGAAACTTAACTGTTGATAAATTAACAACAACATACACAGGCTAAACTAATTTATCCGAGACATATAGCTACAGGTTTTTATGCAGCTACTGGAAGCTTTGTGTATGGATCATTCATGTCACCAGCTCGGTCTCTAAAGAACAGTCACAGGAGAGACAAAATTATTAGGAAAGTAATGAGAAGTAGGCATGTCAAGATACAAAACTGTGCTGTGTCCATGTCACGAGTACTGGCCCCTACTCAACCCATACTGTAAAAATAGAAAAGAGAAACAAGAATTGGTGAGAGTAAAGTTAGCTCTACATGGGAAGAGACTTTGAAAACAAAACCAAACCCAACCACCATCAACAACCGCAATACAACAAAAAAAAGACAGAGACTAGAATTCACTTGGAGGAGACAGCTCAGAGCGGGCAGATGTTTATAAGGCTATACTGGGAAAACAAGTAAGGATTGATTTATCTCCTAATTCTGGTAACAAAATAAGTAACTCTCACTCATTGGAAGCACCAGATCATACATTTGTAACAATCACAAAAGCAAACAATCAAGAAAACCCACAGTAAAGTTGTACATTTTCCATACAACAGCAATGTGATTGGAAAACTAACTGCTATAAAAAGTGGTAGAAGTCAAAAGTACAAAGTTCAAACAGCAAATGACGATGACAGAGCCTTTATGGACTAAAGGCAGTAGTCCAGACGAAAACGCTTGTCAGGATATTCATGAACTGCTGAACACCAGACAGATAGCCAGAAGAAAGGTATATGTCCCCCTCTTCCTACTTTCCACCTATTTACTACTGTCCATAGCCAGAAATACAATACAGGATTAAAACACCTTCAGTCTGATCCAGTATGGCAGTTCCTGTTGTATTTAGTGGTGGTCAGACACCACTCAGACTCTTAGAATAACTTAAATATAATTCAAAATGCTGAGATAATATTTTACAAATGCAATAAAGAGAATAAAATGTTTGTTCACCTCAATCTTAGACCATCTGGCAATATGATAGGAAATGACAGCAGAGACAGTGTAAGAATTTGTGTCATCTCTTGAACTCATGTGAAGCTCTCACAACACGTATCAATCAGACTCCAAGTAGAACTGGGATTCCCCTCCCACTTAAGATTTTTGGGCAGTACCAGTTGCCAGTTCACAAGATGTTGTAGTTACTTTGTATGCACAACATTAAACCTCTGCCAGTACAGAAATGAAGTGTTTTTCAGCAGCTATCATCACTACTGCTCCTCCAAGAACAAAACAGGCCTTTGTATTGAGCAACATATTCTCTAGTCTATCATACTTTAAAAATGTTTCTGTTTCACATTACCTACTTAATTATATGAAGAGTAGAAATGGTACACGGTGTTGATAAGAATGCTGATGTCTGCTTAGATTCTATGTGACATTTCATATTATACCTCCTATGACCAATGTGCAGCTGACTGCTCATATTTCATGTAAAATGGGTACATATTCTTAAAGTATGAAGCAGTAACACTGACCTGAGTAAAAAAAAGCAATAGGATACTTCTAATGAATACTGCTCTATATAGCAGGATACTGAATATCTGACTATGTAAAAGCACTGAGACTTCTGTATGAAAAAAAACCCCACTGAAATAAAGCAAATATACAAGCACTGAGTTCTGCCTACAGAATGAAAATCAGTATGAGTGGTCTGCTAGGTATGTCTTTGCAGGTAAGTTAAATTCATTTACAGTTAACTGTAAATTCAGTAAGAACAATTCAGTTTTAGTACGTACAACATGGAACTTCTTACTCAGGATATTATAGATTTATTTTTTTTTTGATTATAGAATCAAAAAGTCATTAGAAAAATTGATGGAAGTAAAAAAAAAAAGAAAAAAAAAAGTAAAAAACCAGCCAATTAATGAAGAGCTACTGAACAGCACCTCTGATTTCAGAACAAGTGCCTAAACTTTTAGATGACAGAAAAACACACTAGGGAACATCAGCATGTTTGCCCTATTCTTACACTCTTCTGCAGAAATCTCCTACAAGCCACTTCTGGAGGCAGCACTGGTCAGAAGCAATCTCTCTGCCATCCCCCCCCCTCCCTTTTTTAGGGGGTTGGGGTGGTGCTTGTATTTCTGTATTTAAATATACACATTTGTTGCCTAAAGAAGAAAGTTTGTCTGACTTCCTGCATGTTCTTGAATCAAACAATCAAGGCTGAGACTCCTATGCATAGGCATATGGACAGATTATGCTTAAGAGCAGAGACACTAACCAACGTTCTCTTCTCCTTCCTTCTTTTCTGTCAAGAGTGTCCGTGTCATGTTCAACTTCTTCATTGTGTGGCACTTGTATTTCAGCTGTACTTTTTCGTTGCCTTCTGCATCTACTATGAAGAGAGGAAAAAAAAAAAAACCCCAAAACCCAATCATTATAGTGAATTCCACTATCAACTGAAACAAGATAAATGCTTTTAATCTCCCAGGCTACTACAATGAACAGGATATCAAATCACAACAATTACCATGCTCTGTATTTTCTTCAAAAACCACACAGGTTCCCAATGTATCTATGGAAAACAAAGTGAGAAAGTCTTAGAAACAAATTTATATAAGCTGTAGATTCTGCAGCCACTGGCACAGCTCTGGGAATGTTCTGACTTCAAGCCCCTCACAAAGGCCCCACATTGGTAACCACACTGCCAACTCAGGAACAGACAGGAGTATCACAGTCATTGAAAGTCACTACAAGGGAAGATTCCATATCATTTTCTTCCAGACCAATGTTGTCATTGTAAGACATACGGGAGAACTACAGATTGCACAATATGTCAGTCCTGTTCATACAGGAGACAACAAGCACTTTAAGGCACTTCATGTCCCACAATTTTCCCCTGCAGACATACCAGCTTGTGCTCCCTGGAGTCAGCTTCCAGGCATACTTTCCAGCAAGTAACACAGACACATGGCTAATTTAGCAGTGAACTCAGACTGGTGCTGCTCTGTACAGTGTTATACAAACACCATCCAGAACTTCAGCACCTCACAGGACTATGTTCTCCATTCACAGTGCGCTTAACTGACGTTAAAGTTCTCTGGGTCACATCAAAAAGAAGAGATTGTATCCACATCATTTTTCCTACCTTCATATTCTCCTGCAAATACGTATCTGTCCACTTGTAAAATGGGCCTCTCTGTCTCTATTCCCTACAAGAGGGGGTACAAAATTGCACAGATATCAGGTGTCTATTCGACCAGGCAAATTTCTTGCTGTAAAACCAAAGACGACAGATATAGCAGAATCCAGATTACATCAATTCCTTGAAAAGATAGTTTAAAAAAACCCCAACATAACATAATAACAGTAAAATAAGTATTCCATAACATGGTTAATGTGAAATAAAACATTTCTTTTGGTAGTAAAGGAATGGATTCCAGACTGTAAAGCTTTCTCAAACTGTCAGCTTCATATGAAGAAAAGTACATCTTTAAAACAGGATTTATGGAAGTGGATAAAAAGAGTTCTGCATAGGATATGATTTTACAGAAGCTAGCTGACTCCTGAAAGAATGTCAAGACATGCAATTAAATTAATATTTATCAATTTTCAAAAAATGTAATAAAAGTAATTTTAGTCATTACAATTGACCCTGCGGTCTTCTGCACTGTTAAACATTGGGGGCGGGGGGAGAAGGATAAAATAAAATAAAACTTGTCACAAACAGAGAAAATGATTAAACAACTCAAAAGGAAAAGGACAGGCAAGGCAGATTCTTACAATAACCTCACAGTGAAGCAAACAGTATCCAAAACCGTTTACCAAATTCTTAATACCCTTTAAATTTACAACACTTGAACTTGCCAGGCAGTATCTGCAAAAAACCCCATTGTAAATACAATGCAATTCATAAAGATTTTGGCCTTCAAAAAAGTCATCTGTATTCAAGTTATTTGAAGAAGTACGCTTAACATTTTTTTTTGAATGTGTAATACCTCATTTTAAAAAAATGAACTTAGAGCTTGAAATCAGAGAGGATAACGATCCTTGCTGATAAACCCTTCTGAAAACATTACCTTATATTTACGTAATACTATATTCAAAGACCATATGGCATTTCTGATATAGAGAGCCCACAACATGCAGCCAAATACAGCCAAGACAGTGCACATAATTCTCTATCAATGATTTGATCTACGTGTTAATGACTTCAAGGAATTTAGAAACAGCCTCAGTCCCTTGTTCAGATGCATACTGACTTACCCCTTTCCTATTGTGCTGTAATCACTCACCAAAATCTTGCATTTGTTTTCACATTTTTCTAAGAAGTCCGAATCAATAATTCCTGACAGTTCCACCATGACCAGTTGCTCCTACAAGATAAGTTCACATCTGTAATTGATATAGCTGAACTTGGCGGGGGGAGGGGGGAGAAGCCCCCCCCCCAACAACCCAAACCAGAAAGAACACCATACAAAGCCCCAGACCTTCAGAATCAACAGACCCCAAATCTGACTTATTCTGCATTTTGTCTATAGAAAGTGGCAGGTAGATATTGCAATACACAGGGAAATGCAGCGACCCACTACTCCATCAGACGTCTGTTTCACACCTGCATTTCCTGGCCTTTTCTTCCTAGCTAGGAAGGGAGGTGTTTTTTCACCCTTGAAAAATGAGGGTAGATATGGGTAAATGATTTATGAATTATAACAATGTGACCAGTTACATATTTGTCCTGGTTTCAGCCAGGATAGAGCTAAACGACAACAATATTCCAAAATACATTCTTCCAAAGCTTTAGTACTACCTAAATCAGACACCATAGTGAAAGGTTAAGTTAACCAACATGTTGCTTGAAATTGTTATGTTTCACTCTTTGTAACATATGGCTTTGAAATCAAGTCCTGTTCGCAATTCCTTACAATTTTGGGTGAGAAGAATGCAAAAACAACCCAAAAAACTAGCCACCTTGAAAAATCTTTTATTAAAGGAAGATTTTTCAACAATCACGGCCTACTAAGTATCCATAAACATATATAATAACAATAGAAGAGTAATAGTTTGGATTTTCGTATGTTATGGGGGTAAGAAGCAACTGAAACAGCAAGAGTGCTTCCTCATAACGCCGTTTTCCACAAAACCTGAACCGCAACAGTCAAAACAATACAGCTTTCGGGACACATCCGTTGCGGGAGCGGAGAAACCCGACAGGCCCAGGGAAACGCACTCGCTCTGTGCCTGGCGCCGCCAGCCCGGGGGCAG